TCCCAGGCTGGCAGGTGCAGGGGGCAGGAAGAAGGTGTTCTGGTTCTGATCCCATTGATCCCATTGGTCCCAGGCTGGCAGGTGCAGGGGGCAGGAAGAAGGTGTTCCGCCTCAGTGAGGTGCTGAAGCCGCTCAGTGAGGTGCAGGTGGAGAAGCTCAAGCTCGGCGCCGTGCGCAGAATCCTGCGCTCCGAGAGGGCCGTGGCGGCCAGCGGGGCTGCCCAGGTACACCTGGGCACACCTGGGGGTACCTGGGCACACCTGGGATAACCCTGGGACACACCTGGGCACACCTGGGATAACCCTGGGAACACCTGGGATAACTCTGGGGACACCTGGGGACACCTGGCATAACCCTGGGACACACCTGGGGTAACCCCGGATTCCCCAGCAAATACCCCCAGGGAAGCTTTGAGTGACCCTTGACTGATCCCTGAGAATCCTTTGACCAATGACTGAGTGACCCTTGAGTGACCATTGAGTGACCATTGAGTGACCCCTGGGTGACCCTGAGTGACCATTGGGCGACCCCGGGTGACCCCTGGGTGTCCCCCCAGGCCCGAGTGAAGATCCTGGCCTCGCTGGTGACGCAGTGACCACTGAGTGACCAGTGACTAATCCCTGAGTGTCCCTTGACCAGTGACCCCCGAGTGACCCCTGAGTGACCATTGAGTGACCCCTGGGTGTCCCCCCAGGCCCGAGTGAAGATCCTGGCCTCGCTGGTGACGCAGTTCGAGGTGCCCCTCAAGGGCGAGGTGCTCTCCTTCATCCTGGACGACGTTCGGGGCCGCCTGGACCTGGCGTTCGCGTGGCTCTTCCAGGAGTACAACGCTCACCTGGCCCGAGGTGGCCCCGGTGGCCTGGAGCGCTACGACGAGTGCCTGATCGGGCTGCTGGCCGGGCTGCAGGAGAAACCCGACCAGAAGGACGGGTACGGGACACTGGGGGGACATTGGGGACACCGGGGACATTGGGGACACCGGGGACACTGGGGACACTGGGGACACTGGGGACACTGGGGACATTGGGGACACTGGGGACATTGGGGACACCGGGGACACCGGGGACACTGGGGACACTGGGGACATTGGGGACACTGGGGACACTGGGGACACTGGGGACACTGGGGACATTGGGGACACCGGGGACACCGGGGACACCGGGGACACCGGGGACGTTGGGGACACCGGGGACACTGGGGACACCGGGGACACTGGGGACATTGGGGACACCGGGGACATTGGGGACACCGGGGACATTGGGGGACATCGGGGACACCCGGGACATTGTGGGGACATCGGGGACATTGTGGGGACACTGGGGACATTGGGGACATCGGGGACACCGGGGACATTGGGGACACTGGGGACATCAGGGACACTGGGGACACCGGGGACATTGGGGACACTGGGGACATTGGGGACACTGGGGACACTGGGGACATCAGGGACACTGGGGACACCGGGGACATTGGGGACACTGGGGACATTGGGGACACTGGGGACATTGGGGACACCGGGGACATCGGGGACACCTGGGCTGGGTTGGTGTCACTTGGTTGGGGACACCAGGGTTGGGTTTGTGTCACCAAGGTTAGGTTGATGTCACCTGGGCTGGGTTGGTGTCACTGGGTTGGTGTCACCTGGGCTGGGTTTGTGTCACCAAGGTTAGGTTGATGTCACCTGGGCTGGGTTGGTGTCACTGGGTTGGTGTCACCTGGGCTGGGTTGGTGTCACCGGGTTGGTGTCACCTGGGCTGGGTTGGTGTCACTGGGTTGGTGTCACCTGGGCTGGGTTTGTGTCACTGGGTTGGTGTCACCGGGTTGGTGTCACTGGGTTGGTGTCACCTGGGCTGGGTTGGTGTCACCTGGGCTGGGGACAGCAGCTCGGTGACCCCGGCCCTGTCCCTGTCCCCAGGATCTTCACCAAGGTGGTGCTGGAGGCGCCGCTGATCACAGAGAGCGCCCTGGAGGTGATCCGGAAATACTGCGAGGACGAGGTGGGCACACCTGGGCACACCTGGGGACACGGGAGGGACATGGGGTGGGACACGGAGGGGGCATGAAGGGGACACCGGGAGATGACACGTGGAGGTGACACCAGGTGACACACAGAGGTGACAGGGCACAGGTGGCACACACAGGTGTCACACACAGGTGACAGGCACAGGTGTCACACACAGGTGACAGAGCACAGGTGACACCCGGAGGTGTCACACAGAGGTGACAGGGCACAGGTGGCACCCGGAGGTGTCACCCACAGGTGACAGGGCACAAGTGACACCCGGAGGTGTCACACACAGGTGGCAGGGCACAGGTGGCACACACAGGTGACACACAGAGGTGACAGGGCACAGGTGACACACGCAGGTGACACACAGAGGTGACAGGGCACAGGTGACACACAGAGGTGTCACACACAGGTGACAGGGCACAGGTGACACCCGAAGGTGTCACACACAGGTGACAGGGCACAGGTGACACACACAGGTGACACCTGTGTCCCCTCAGAGCCGCACCTACCTGGGCATGTCGACGCTGCGGGACCTGATTTTCAAGCGGCCGTCGCGGCAGTTCCAGTACCTGCACGTGCTGCTGGACCTCAGCTCCCACGAGAAGGACAAGGTGGGGCTGGGGGCGTCCCCAGGGGGGTTTGGGGGGTACCTGCGGCACCGGGCTGGGGATGGTGACACAGGTGTGACACAGGTGTCCCCAGGTGTGTCCCCAGATGTGTCCCCAGCTGTGTCCCCAGCTGTGACCCAGGTGTCCCAAGTGTGTCTCCAGGTTTCCCCAGGTGACCCAGGTGTCCCCAGCTGTGACCCAAGTGTGTCCCCAGGTGCCCCAGGTGTGTCCCCAGCTGTGACCCAGATATCCCAGGTGTGTCCCCAGGTGTAACCCAGATGTCCCAGGTGCCCCAGGTGTGTTCCAGGTGTCCCAGGTGTGACCTAGGTGTCCCCAGGTGTGACGCAGGTGTGTCCCCAGATGCCCCAGGTATGTCCCAGGTGTGACCCAGGTGTGTCCCCAGCTGTGACCCGGATATCCCAGGTGTGTCCCTAGGTGTGATACAGGTGTGATGCAGGGGTGTCCCAGGTGTGACACAGGTGTGTCCCCAGGTGCCCCAGGTGTGACACAGGTGTGTCCCCAGATGTCCCAGGTGTGACGCAGGTGTGTCCCCAGCTGTGACCCAGATATCCCGGGTGTGTCCCCAGGTGTGATGCAGGTGTGTCCCAGGTGTCCCCAGGTGTAACCCAGGTGTGATACAGGTGTAACCCAGGTGTCCCCAGGTGTGACGCAGGTGTGTCCCAGGTGTCCCCAGGTGTGATACAGGTGTAATGCAGGTGTGTCCCCAGGTGTGACGCAGGTGTGTCCCCAGGTGCCCCAGGTGTCCCCAGGTGTGATGCAGGTGTGTCCCAGGTGTCCCAGGTGTGACGCAGGTGTGTCCCCAGGTGCGGCAGCAGGCTCTGCTCTTCATCAAGCGCATGTACGAGAAGGAGCAGCTGCGGGAGTACGTGGAGAAATTCGCCCTCAATTACCTGCAGCTCCTGGTGCACCCCAACCCCCCCTCCGTGCTGTTCGGGGCCGACAAGGACACAGGTGAGCCCCAAAAGCCCACAGGTGAGCCCCAGAACCCCACAGGTGAGCCCCAAAACCCCACAGGTGAGCCCCAAAACCCCACAGGTGCCACGGGAAATCCCAGATATCCCGCGGGAATCCCGAATATTCCACGGGAAACGTCGAATGTTTGGTTGGAATGGTTTTTGCTCGTTGTCGCCCCATTTTTTGTCACTGTCAC